GGTTTAGGGTTAGGTTTAGGTTTAGGGTTAGGTTTAGTTTTACAGTGCGCTTCTGTCGCCACGCTGTTGTTGGCGCGATTCTGTCGCCGCGCTGTTGTCGGAGCGCTTTAGAACACGCGGTTTTGTCACCGCGGTTTAGTCGGGCGCGGTTTTGTCGTTCGCCCTTTTGTCGGTGAACCTCATATCACACCCTAGTCTTTCTCTTTGGAACTTTTACAAAATAGAGAATGACAGATTTGGAAGGGACTTTGGAGGTCTTCTAGTCCAACCCCTACTCAACCAGGAAACTCCAATCTCTTCTTAAAAGCCTGATGGAGCACCACAACTTCTGAAGGCAACTTCTGTTCCACTGATTAATTGTTAATAAATTAAATAATTCAAAGGAATTGATTGCCTACTGATATTTATGCCTAGATGTCTTATATCTGCAATGTTTATTTGAAACCGTTTAGAGCCAGAAGGTTACCAAACACTGGAATTGGTCATCATTCAATATTTGAAGGGCTGCCAGAAAGAAGAGGGGGATCAACCTATTTTCCAAAGCGCCAGAAGGCAAAACAAGAAACAATGGATGGAAAATAATCAAGGAGTGAAACAACCTGGAATTAAAGAGAAACTTCCTAAAGGTGAGGACAACTAATCAGTGGAACAACTTGTCTTTAGAAGTTATGGGTGGTCCAACACAAGGAATTTTAAGAATAGAGTCTCCTGCTAGAGCAGGGGTTGGACTAGAAGACCTCCAAGGTCCCTTCCATCTCTGGTATTCTATGCTCCATGCAGTGCTGATTGAAATAGTTTAGAGCCAAAAGGTTACCAAATGTTGGAATTTGTCAACATTTGGCCAGATTTAAATCACTCCCTTTTCCAATTCCCTCTCACCCACCCCCTCTCTCCTTTGGCTGTCAAGGCGGTGAAATTTACTATTATTGACAGCTGGGTCAATCCAGAAAATCACATCTGGAAGTTCAGAGGAAGAGTGAGGAAAATTCAAAACGTAGCGCATAATTGGCCAGGCCATGGGAATAGTTTCTCTGTAAAATGCCCCCTCCACAAGAGGAAACTCTACCTGTGAACTGAACTATTCATAGCACAGTGTGTGGGGTGTGTGTGTGTGTGTTTTTTTTAGTTGTGAAGTCATGTCCGACCCATCGCAACTCCATGGACAACATTTCCCCAGGCCTTCCTGTCCTCTACTATCTCCCGGAGTCCATTGAAGCTCACGCCGATTGCTTCGGTGACTCCCTCCAGCCACCACATTCTCTGTCGTCCCCTTCTTCTTTTGCCCTCCATCGTTCCCAGCATGAGGCTCTTCTCCAGGGAACCCTTCCTTCTCATTAGGTGNGCAATTACCTCCTGTAACTGCGCAACTGTTCCTTACGTCTATTAACTCTCTGGTGCCGGGCATCCAGGAACAACTCACTGCTGACATCAGGATCACACTCCCTTGTCTCCTCCCCACTGGTCCAAGGCTCAGGCGCCTCCTTAAGCAGCCTCTCTGCGCCCTGCTCGGAATCGGAACCCTGTACAGGGTCCTTCACATCCTCCAGAGCTGACTCATAGTGCCCCTCACTGTCGGAGTCTGGAGGATGTGGCAGCTCCAACGGCTCCTGCTGGGCCACAACACACACACAGACACACACAATTTACCCAGATGCCATTCCTGAAATTTGTCAAACAGAGAAATTTGCCAACAATTAAGGAAAAGAAGCTGAACTGCAGTACTTTTAAAACAGTGTGTCTATTCTGTTGTATTTTTGCCACTTGAATATGTGCTAAGTGAATGGCAGGTTTAATCTTATTGCAGGCCACCATTGCATCTTATATTGTGTATATCTTGTTTCAGGCAAAAACGTCAGAGAATTCTGCCTCTCAGAGTGTTTATTTCCCTGCTGCATCTAATAGCTGCTAGCAAGTGCATTCTCCATGGTTTATCAGTTCCCCTTTTGAAAGCTAGCAGTTGACCACGCTTAGTATTGACAGATTTTTTAAAAATGCTAAGCTTGGTCAGATTTGCTTAATCGTGAATTGGCAATGGCAGTTCCAATTCATCCCAGACTAGTTCTAGAGGCTAGAGTGGGCAGTACGGAAAAAGCATCGCCATAGAAGATGAAATCAAGGAAGCCATTCATTCATTCATAGATTTCTGTAGCTATCCACACACAAAAATGTGGCTCCAAGCAGCGTATACAATAAACACAAAAACACAATAGATCACAGGAGAACAAACCATAAATCACAACAAGGTGACAGGTGGTTTGGAGTACACCAATGTATATTACCCCTTATGGGACAAGCTCATCTCACATAGGGCCATGAATGATGTTGCTATGGGGAATCCAGTCTCCTTTCTTCAGAGCTGTTTCTCAGTTGAAGCTTTGCAATGTTTGAACTTAGTATTCTGAGGTCTTATGGAAGCACTTTTTGCTTTGCTTGGAATCCTTTTTCATGGATCTGAACTGTACTATGTATACCATTTACTTTATGATGGTTCTCTTGAAGTCTCAAGAAGATTCAAATATTTCATTCCCCTATCTTTTTTTGGGGGGGTGTGGGGAGATCCAGAGTGACTTGGTAAGGTCGGAGGTAGCATAAGAATGTTCTATTTGACTGGAATCCTTTCACCCATGCATTGCTGCTGCTGAAGGTACACTTTTGGAAAATGGTGAAATTATTAGAGATTCAGTTGCCCCAATTTCAAATGTGATTTTGAGTTGAGCATATGGTTGCTCTCCTGCCCTGATATATCTGTGTGCTCTGTCGCAGAATTGCCAGAGGAGAGAGGGACTAGTAGCACCTTCTGCCTCTCCTGTCTGGAGCTCAAGAGAGAATTGCATACAACAGATGGGTAGTTCCTATCAAGCCCTTCCATAGGACAATCGTGTTGAGAATGCCCAACAGCTGTTGCATTCTGAATCAGCATTACCAGCCTCACTTCCAAGTTGTAACACATGCTGCTTTTCTCTAAACTGCAGGCAATTTACTATGAAATTGGCTTCATAATCTCAGCTGCCCTGGGAATCCTATTTGTCCTGTTGCTTCCACTGATTGGCCTCTGCTTCTGCCTGTGCCGATGTTGCGACAATTGTGGTGGGGAAATGCACCAGAGACAGAAAAAGAATGTCAATTGTCGGAGGAAGTGCTTCTCCAGCCTCCTCTTGGTAACTACATTGCTAAGCAGGTAAGCTAAACACAGTAAGTTTGGGGTGACTGCCAAATAACTAAATATGTTTATTATTTCTGGAGGATTGATTGGATCAGGAATTATACCCATGTATTTAAAGACTTCTAATTTTTTTTCATGATATCAGAAACTTTGTCTTCATGATAGAGATGAAGCATTTCAAATTTTATTATTAAGTTGGATTCAGTCCCCTGTCAAAAGGCAGGAATCTAAAATTGTAAGCCATTTTCTCTTGAGCTCTTCTGAAATTTATTTTGTGGTAAACCCAGGGGTGGGTTTCAACCAGTTCGCGGCGGTCCCTGCGATCCGGTTGGTCGCCGAACCCGGAAGTAAGTAACTTCCGGGAACGGCGAAGGCCCCCCCCGCGCCCGCGCACCCGTGCCCGCTCCTTACCCGGTTTTGATGAATTCTGCGCTTCCACGCATGCGCAGGACGCATACAGCGCCTGCGCGATCCTCCAGGAGCAGCTGGAGCATTGCACAGATGCTAGTACGCATGCGTGCGCTGCACGCGTGTGCGAGGACGCCGCACGCGTGCACGAGGACGCCACCGGCCTCGTTTCAACCGAACCGGTTGGAACGGGGCGAAAAACCCACCCCTGCTAAGTGTCCAAATTTTGACCGTGTGGATGCTGCAAGGGTCATGAAAAACAGTCATAAGTCTCCTTTCTCCCTCTTTCCCTCTCTTAATCTCCCTTCCATTCTCTATTTTACGTGGTGTATTTCCACCTTTTAGCAAACCCCATTTAATATCAATGGAATTGATAATTATATTCCCAACGAAAAAAGCGGGGAAAAATGTTTTCCATATTGCCAGTTGCCAGGAGAGAGGGAACTAGAAGGGAGGGAAAGAATAGGAGAGAGGGAAGGTGTGGAAAGATTGATTGATTGATTGATTGATTG